ACATGGTCAATAAACTAACAATCTTGATGACGGATAAAGAACCAATCGTACGAGAAGAAATTGCTGTTATCTTCACCCGTTTAGCAAGCACGCATATAAGCAAGATGAAAATTCTGGCGCATCCAGTCTTCATTAATAATATTATAAATATAATGATGCATGACCGCAAGGAGATCAGATATGCTGCATCACTATGCCTTAAAACTTTGACCAGAGACAGATGCGCCTGTAAAATAATCATGAAAAATGACAATGTTATCGCGAGTCTCCTCAAAATGATAAAACACGACTGCATGGAAATAGTGATCTACCATTTGAACTCGCTTAAATATTTATCAAACTGGAACCCTGTCACGCCGCTGAAAGCGGGGGCATTTCCAGTGCTGACGAGTCTGCTAATGTTCAATCGGACCAGAGTGGAGCAAGCTGCAATGGATTGCTTGGCAGTGCTCTGCAAACATGAGATTGGGAAGCAGCTCGCAGACTCTTATAACTTGAACAAATTACTGTTACATTACATCCATGTACAAGACGTACAAATGATAAACAGCACACTAGGATTGCTTCAGTATACGACAATCACAGTGAAGTCTAAATGGAGAGCAAAAGAATTTGGTTATAAACTCGTGAAACGTCTAGTGAGGCTTACATATGCGCAGACTCAGCCACTGGTACAACTGCGAGCTATGCAGGTATTGATGAACCTTTGCGATAGTGCCGATATGAGGATTGAAGTCAAAAATACTTGGGGCTCGTTTGCAAAGCTGGTGCGCAGAGTGAAGATATCTCCTGACGAGCTCTTCGTAAATACTTCGGAAATTACTACGTTTAGTGAAGAGACGGGTCTGAACTATGAGACTATGACCATAGAACCGGTGGATATAATAAAGGACGAGCATGGTAGTGATGTGGAAATCGGAGATCCAAGCAGCTATATTGGACGGATTCGCAATGCGATGCGCAATCTAGTAAAGGCTATGAATGCTACTTCCTACTAAGCTAAAGAACTTCTAATTACAATAGCGCTTCTAACCACTTCTAACAATAAAAGTCAGTTTTTCTACGACTATTATAATCATATTTTGAAGCTATATTATATTATTTGTTTCTATCTATTGTTTTCTCTTTGTAAATTGGTTAGTTCATTAACGCATAGATCCTTTGCAGAGATTATCAGATCACGAAATATCTTCACATTTTCTTCACTCGCTATCACAATGGTTACTGTTTATAACCTCCTTGAAAAAATATTTGGAAAACAAAAACCAAAGACGTTGAAATAATAATTAAGTCAATCATTTCCGATGACAAGGTGTCATATTTATTTTGTAACAATCGTTCAAACCATAGATTGTCTTATATTACAAATCATTCAACCAGATGTGATTTAAAGGAACTGAATTTAACTGTGAAATTATTTAGTTTTGTAGATAACTTTGTACATAAATCTCATAAAATAATTGTTGAAAAGTGAGTGTTGCATTTGGGTAATTTGTGCACGTCTGCCTACCCCTTAGATGATTAACAGGCGGAGTCTAATGTTATCCACGTAATCTAGTTTTATACATACGCAATTTATTTTAGTTTCATAGATTTCAAGCTTGCAATAATAAGGCAAGATGTTCTGTCCACAAAAGAATTCATACCTTCAGCGTGAGATCCCAATGGAGCCACGGCTTATCAATAAGGCTGTGCGGCGCGCCATGAGAAAAACTCTAATTGTCCCTGACAGTGGTAAGACATTTAATAGAGTCAACCTATATTCATTTTACCATAAAACCGCTTATGAAAGGAAAAAAGTAATAAGAAGACTGGTAGCCGAGTGGTCGCAAGTGCGACTGCCGGGCAAGGAGTCTCGGGTTCGATTCCCGTGTCGGGCAAAGTATTAGGTACTGGGTTTTCTAAAAATTCTCAGTAGTAGCACAGAGTCTGGAAATGTCCCCGGAATATGGCAATAGACCCTATTACATGGAACTCATAACTTAAATAGTGAAAAGGGGGTGTTACATTGTACAGTGGCAAAATGTAGATACACCTCTGCCCTTTGAGAGTAAAAGGCGTGATGTTATGTAAGTAAGATAAACCTATAGGGTAAATATCAGAGAACTAATACTATATTGTCTTCTAATGTTAATTTCACATTATGAAATGTTAAATTCAGTTTATATAATAATACATTTTTCTCACGTGACAGATTTACCACCAGCCCGGCGACTAGAATCCATGCAGCCGACCTTATTTGCTCCCTGGGTGGACATCACGCAAGCTCATCTCGGCTATGGCCGCCCCGGCCTTCGCATTGTTGCGAGAGAACTCGTCTCAGATGATCCTATTATTCAATCACAAGCTGTCCACACTATTTTAGACAAGGTATCTTCAAAACCTATAATAATATAGTGAACGAAATAAACGAATTTTATGTCTAGTCTGAATTTCACAGGTCCAAGAAACAGACAGCGCCCTACATCTTTTAGATTTGAACGTTATTTATAATGTTGTAAATCTAGTTACTCACACCGACGCCCTGATTCGAGAGAAGTCTATCTTAATTCTCACTCATCTATCTAACTACTACCAGGGGAAGCAGCGCATCATGGCACGGCCAGTCATCATCGATCACTTCATCGACATACTGTGGAACGACTGTAAAGAGATACGCTACGTGACAGCTCTATGTCTTAAAACTCTAGCTAGAGACAGATGCACTTGCGAAAAGATCTTGCAAAATGATAGAATTATAGAAACACTCTTACGAGTAGTGTGCAATGATCATACAGATATTGTCGTATATCTTTTGAATGTTCTTAGAAAATTGATGGATTACGATCAAGAGAGACCTCTCAGAGCCAATGCGTTTCAAATAATGTGGCATTTTATGAAAATTCACGATAACAGGATTGTTGTAGCTTCTATGGAATGCATGACGCAACTTTGCAAGCATAAAGTCGGTAAGAAATTAGCTGACCAGCATGACATGTTAAAGGAGATGAGGATGTACCTACTGGCGTCTGATGTGGAAGTGATGATCAGCGCTGCGGGCTTGTTGCACTACCTCACACTGACGGATATGTCGAAATGGCGGTGCAAACAATTCCAATGGGACATGATCCAGCGATTGGTGACTTTGGCCGTGGCGAGTAACCTACCGTCGTTGCAGCTGCGATGTCTGCAAGTGCTGATAAACCTGTGCGACTGTAACGACATAAGAGAGCACATTAGGTACATCTGGAAGGACAAGATCCAGGGAATAAAGGTTAAGACACATGAGTCCTGGGACGGTTATACGGAGTTTAGCACATTTGGCTATGAAACTGGGGAAAACTACCAAACTATGAGCATAGAAGGTGTCGAGACGATTGAAGAAGATTACGGTGACGGTGTGCGTCCTGTCAACCTGACCAGCTTTTGGAGACGTATCCGTGAAGCAAAGATGAGATTGTTGAAAATAATGGATACTTACCCTTATATTTGATATTTTAACTGTCAGTTATTCATTACTTTGAAGAAATTCTTTACGTGTTTTTATGTTGGTTTCTCCTAACTTTATTTTTATTTATTTTTTTATAATATATTTGTCTCTGGCATCTTGGGCCATATTAAAATAATAATTATTATGTATATTACAATAATACAATACAAATAATTCAGGTTACAAATACTGTACATACATACATCTACACATTATTTAATTACCTAATGTTTACTGCTTATTTAACACGAAGTATCGGAGCCGTGTGTCGCTCGTCGTCTAGTATCCGGCATCGAAATCGGAATACTACCACCTTCCAGCCAAAATTATTCCTTTATAAGAATCGACAGGTATTCAGTGGGCACCCTCACCACAAAAGAACTGAAGTTCGCATTATGACTCGACTCCAACCGCTCGACCCTCAAAAGACTCCGACTCGAAGTACAGGAGTAGAAACGGGGTAGTTTATAGTCAGTAAGAGTCTGACACTCCCTCCCGCAGCACCCAGGCGGGAGAAGTCATTCGATGATATGCCCCCCTTAAAAAAAGAAAGAAAAACCCGTTTGACTCTCATGACGATTTGGATTTCATATACTCTTCGTATACTCTGTAATCTTACTCCCTCACTTTGATAGTTCATAATTTATTTATTAATGTCTTGTTAAATAAATGTTGTAATGCAATAATCTTCTTTAATTATTTCCCCGTTTTTTAATTTTAGGTATTGAAAATAACAATATTGATGCAGATGGATATTATCCTGCCTTTTTTTGTTTTTTTTTTTTATTTAATGGGCCGACGTTTGGCCACTATCTCGCCTGGTGATAAGCGATGATGCCAAATCTACAAAAATACATTGAAATCGGTAGACATGAATAAGATCAACTGCCAATAATAATTACAGATATTTATTTATTTATAATGTATACCAACAGCTTCTATATACATAGTATTAAGTGATAATAAAGCCATATTCACGTCTTTTTCTACAGAATAATAGAATAATGGAATAAACAAGTGGCGGTGACTCGACATCACGCCTTTTAACCCCGAAGGGGTGGGTGCCCATTACGTGCACATAGGTGCACATTACGGTAATGCCACTGTACAATGTAACATCTATTTTTCACTATTTATGTTATGAGTCCATGTAATAGGGGGTGAGCCTATTGCCACATACTGAACACAATTCCAGACTCCGTGCTACTACTTCTTTTTAAAAGCCGAGTAATTTTTGCTTGACCTAGGAATCGAACCCAAGACCTCTTGGCAGTCGCACTTTCGACCACTCAGCCAACGAGATAGTCATCAATCAACAAAAGTCTCTTAAGTTGTATATATTTAGTAATTAATTGAATGCATCATTGAATGAAAAAACAAAAAAACACACCTCTTCGTAATCAACAAAATATTTTCGAATAAATCCTTTTTCGAATAAAAATTGCAATTTTTTTTAACTGGCTTGAAGACTTTTTTATAAAAAATGTCAGCACTTGAAGCTAGAACTGTCAAAATAGATAACTGTCAAAAGTACACAAGAACAGTTAATTTTAAATTGCATTGAAAAGAATAAAATTTAAATATTATCGTCGGACTTGCGTACGACAGGGAAACTTATTTACATTTATAGTGGGATTTACTTAAGTTTTCGAAAACATATTTATATAGATAACAAAATGTTCAGCGCTAATAAAAACTCGTATCTTCAGCTGCAGACGTCTGTGAACCCAACACTAGTCAACAAAGCGGTGCGTCGTGCGATGCGGAAAACTCAATTTGATCCTCATGATGGTAAGAAAAAGATATTGATAAAACAATCACCACCGTCATCAATCCATGAGAGTCCACTCCTGGAGTTTTCTACAAAAGAGAAGTTTGCCATATCTCTACGCTTGGCAAACGGGTAGGAGTTCGCAGTTTTAAATGATCAGGTTTATAACAGAACGCTTCGGTTCGGTTCCTGATAAATTTGTTTTTATGCGATATACGAGCAGACAGATCACCTGATGGTAAGCAATCGGCGCCCATAGACACTTGAAATACCAGAGGCGTTACAAGTTCGTTACCGGCCTTTTGTAAATTGGTAACCTCACTGACACAACGAAACACAACGCAAGTGTTGTGTGACGTCAGTTTTCTGTGAGGTTTTCTTTTGGTATCACGCCGGTCGAGCCGGCCCATTCGTGCCGAAGCATGGCTTTCCCACACTGAAAGTCCTTTAATAAACTTATCATACCCGCGGGAAGAGTACGGATGAGGAGAATATCCTACTTTGCTGTTGCCATACGGCTAATTAATTCCTATCAGCCTTAAGTGTCTGTAAAATCTTTGTAAAGTTTCCTGTAACTAATAATAAACCTTTCCCCGTTTGTCCAGAAACCCCCACTGCCCAAAGAATGACGTCGATGCAGCCATCACTGTTCGGTCCCTGTACCGACATCACGAGGGCAACCTTGGGCTTCGAACGTCTGGGGTTGCGTCACATCAATAGAGACATCAACTCTGAAGACAACTTCATCAAGCTGCGAGCTATACATTCTTTGCTGGATCACGTAATAATAATTATATTGTTAAAGTTAATAATGACTGGAAACGATCATTGTCAGTTTTATTTGTTGCACTATCCATGCCTGTATTTCTTTTCTTAATAAAATTTTGTCCGCAGGTACAAATATCCGAGAACGCTATGTTCCTTGTGAACTTGAATGCGACAAACAAGCTTATAGATCTGCTGCCAGACCAGGACCCCATCGTCCGGGAGAAGGTGTGTCTCATCCTCACGATACTCGGCAACTACTACCAAGCCAGGGCCCGCATCATGGCCAAGCCAATCGTCATAAATCATCTCATGTTTCTATTCATGAGAGACCGCAAAGAAATCCGCTACGCTGCAGCGCGTTGTCTCAAAACCCTCGCCCGATCAGAAGCAGAAACTATTATAAAAAACGAAAAAGTAGTCGAGAACCTCATCAAAATGATTAAACACGATCACGAAGGTATTGTTCTGATACATTTGGAGACATTAACGCACTTGGCTGAATGGAACCCTGAGAAGCCGTTGAAAGCTAACGCGTTTAAAGTCATGCTCAAGTTGATATTATATCAAGAGGACAGGATCACAGAGGCAGCCATCAACTGTCTGGTGCACCTTTGCAAACACGTGGTGGGTCAGAAACTAGCGGACAAGTACGACCTGACACGGTTCCTGATACCGTACGTAGACTCTGACAACGTTAATATCATCATCAGTACCCTAGGGTTGATGGCGTACACTACAGTAACGACGAGAGCTAAATGGCGGGCGAAAGAGTTCATATACACTCTTAGCAGACGCTTAGTATACTTATGCATAGTGCACGACATCCCAGCGCTGCAACTGCGAGCGATGCAGGTTCTGATCAACATGTGCGACAGCCCTGATGTCAGGGGGTTTATGAAGGGCAATTTAGTCAAGTACATTGAAGAAGGGATAAAGATCCGTACTCCTGAGCAGTGGGACGGTAGCACGGAGCCGAGGAAGTACGGCCTGGACGTCTCACATAACTACAGGACGAGGTACATTGATGGTACGGAGACTGTGAAGAATGATAAAGGAGATTACGTTGACTCTGTCACTGTGCCCAACTATTTACAACGTGTCAGAGATACTAAAGAACATTTGTTGAAAGCAATGGATTTGAAACCTTATGGGTCTTCTGGATAAGGTGGGAAATCGAACACTCTACTTACTCTCACTTGAACATATACATCATATTCTACAGAATATAACTAATTCGATTCGATTGATCGATCGATAACGAAGCAGATCGATACAGAATATAACTAGTTCGATTGTAATCGAACGTCTGAGTAAACAGGGTTACCGCAAATATAATTGATACTCGATTGTTTTAATAATAATAAGCATTTATTCCATAAATCATGTGAATTACAATATTTGAGCTAGACATTTTGGTTTTTATTTTTATTTTTAACACATTTTTGTGCCTCGTGACGTACTTAAAGCTACATTCAGTCGGAGAGACTAAATAATAAGTTATTATCTACAGTTACAGGAGTTTATCGATGTTTTATCGATACTAGTGGTGTACATATTACAGGTCGTAATAAAAGTGCAGTATAAATCAGAATGACGATGAATGATGAATGAAAATGTTATTAATATTACTACAATAATATACAATATAAACTAAATTATTATACACACACGTTATTCATTGGTAAACGTTTCAATTATCGACAAGCAAAATCACAATTTTCACTCAAACAATTTGCGAGGGATTCTCATCTTTATGTATCAACAGAAGACATATAATGGCACTTATTATTTAAGTTTTCGCTTAGTTTATTATAACCAAAAACAGTATAATCAACTTGGTTTGAATTTTTGGTTTAAATATTTGCAAAAACAACTTATTCATTAATTTTTGATCAAATAAAAAGACAAAACAATTCTTTGAAGCACCTATATAAAAGTAATAAAGAGGAACAAACTATAATTTATTCAACGATTGAATAATAAACATAAATATTATTTTTATATTCAACACCTGAATAATAAAAGAAAACCAAAAACCATTGCTTAAATCTCGAACAAAAATAATTAAACGTATGTGATACGAACTAATAAACTAAATATAATTAATAATTGTATAGAAAATTAACATTATACTCTTTTTCAAGACAATCTATATTTACACTAGAGTTTGCAGACTTAAATAATATCTTTGTTTTAGGAAAAATGTTAATTTACAAAAAAAATGTTAAGCGAGCTAAATTAGCCTAGCTTTTTATATGTTAAGCTTTACAAGCTAACCTAAGAGGTTATATATGCATAGGTAATTATTTTTAGTATTATTTCATATTATTCCTTGCCTAGTGTTCTATTTAATTATATAATTTTTATATAACAGTCTGTATGTGTCGATAAATATTATAATATTCTTAATTGTTTGTGCAAAACTAGTTTAAACCTTTTGTAGTAATTTAGATTTATTTTATTTTATATGGATTACAATTACAAATGAGGCTAAATCCTCACTACTCACGTGAGAATACTGAGAAAAGCTCTACTAGTTTCGAACCACAGAGGGGTTCTTCCTCATGAGCAGCGTGCGCGGTCGGCGATGTCGCGTAGCCTACTGTTTTAGTTAATTTAGTATGTCTCACCTCTCGATAGTTATAATAAAAAGATATGAGGCTATTTTGAGAAGCCCATTAATATAAAAATATACCATAATATATGTACAAATACGAAGTAAACTAATGAAAGAAAATATGCAAATCAGGATTTTGCTATGGAGACTAATGCAGTGAAGTTTCCTGATAATTTTGACCAAGGTACCAAGTGCCTGGACTATAAGACTAAGTACAAAACACAAAAAAGAACATATAAGATGGATGAAAGCTAAGTTACGAAAAAAGTACACAGAGTTGATATGAATGGGACCTCTGTAGAGGGCGCCCTAAATAAGCATACTTCGATATTTTGGTGATTTTTTTATGTTTTATCTATATATATAAATGTGAAATTCGTTTCCCGTTGCACGCCATAACTTGAGAACGGCTGAATTGATTTGCCTTTTTTTTTTGTTATGTTTGTTATTGTCAGGATAAGGTTCTTATGACAGAAAAAATCCTGAAAATCCTACGGCAATGGGAGAAAACGGGATAGCACGTACGAAGTCGCGGGCAGGAGCTAGAAAGATGTAATTATAAGATTTCGTTAATATATTGTTTAATGACGTCTTATGAATACTTATATGGTAATATGAAGGTATCACCTTTTTTTGAAGTTTTGTATAGGTGAGTGTTTAATTACTCTATTTGTATTGTATATATTGAATATTTGAGTGTTTATTAATTGCCTATTTCAATAAACGATATCAGTACATAATCTTTATATAAACACTGACCCGGCGAACTTCGTACCCCCTAAACTTCTTTTCTCACCTTTAAAACCCCTTTTAAACCTTCCCTGGACTTCCACAAACATTTTAAAACCAAAATAAGTCAAATCGGTTCAGACGTTCTCCAGTTTTAGCGAGATGAACGAACGGAAATTCATTTTTATATACATACGATATGAGACAAAACACATAAAAATTGTGTCTCGCGTGGATCCACGTCTTAGACACACGAAAGGTTAAGCGCGACTTAAAATTGAATAGTGTTTGAATATTTTGACATAGGTCTACCTATTTGTATTGTAACTTTCGTGAGACATACTAAATAAATTATTACGTTTTCGGCTTACACACAGTAGTAGCAGCGCGACGATCGCCGCGTCGCGGGTCGCGAAATGCTGCTCATGAATATGAGCCTCTAGCATGGCTTGAAACTAGTCGAGTTCCTCGTCAAATTATTACGTGAGTAAGCCGAAAACATAATAATTTACTCTATCCTGTGATTATTGTAAAAGCAACTATAAAATGCACTGCTATTCACTATTCATATTGTTTGATACATACGTTACCACTGAATAAGACATACGAAACACAATAGAAAATTCATTGTGTGTCACATAGATCTACGTTCTGGCATACCACGGGTTATAATAAATTGTTTGCATCGAATACTGGAATATTATGATAATTATTCTAGATTTGTATCATATCTCACTTAGGTTCCGTAATACGAATATAATCTAAACCTAATTGCGTTAAAATAAGGTTATTATTAAGTTACTCATATCATAATTAGTATATAGGAGCTAAGTTTTTATTTATGACTTTTTTCGTTTAGGATATCATATTGGAAGTACATAGTTACGTGGATTTTCATTTCAATATTAATTTTTATATATCAAGTAAAGTAAAGTATATAGAAGAGCATTTATTTCCTAAGCAATACGGTATATTTTTAAATGTTTAGTTTGTTTCTTGAAGGGTACAATTTGAGTGTATTATATTAGTTATTTGTGTTATCTACTTAAAGTATTGAATATATTCCCGCTGCTATATATTACACATATAACACATAATTATATACATAATTATATACGCAATATACACTCAAAAATTTTGAATAAATAAAGCTGAGACCATAGTGAACACAATTCGAAAAGATATCAAAATCAACTGGAAGTAATTGTGTGATAATTGTTATTACCAAAGTATATCAATTTTCTACCCATTGCTAAAACTCAGCCATTTATTTTAACACAGAGAAATAAAGTATTCATATATATAGGTATATAGAATAGACTCAGGCGTTACGTTGCGAAAATCAATGCTACACTAACAGCTGGGTATATAATTTTAAGTTAATAATTTTAAGTTTTTATTCCACTAAAAGAATTAATGTGCAGTATGCAGCACCGCCCTCATCTCGCCCGCGGTTAATCGCTCATATATATCGATCCGCGGGAGTCGCTGAGTTAACAACTACTGAAGATGCTCTGTGGAGCAGCAAAATATCGAGTGATCTATATATATAAAAGAAAGTCGTGTTAGTTACACTATTTATAACTCAAGAACGGCTATATCGATTTGGATGAAAATTGGTGGGGATGTAGCTTAGAACCAGGAGACGGACATAGGATACTTTTTACCCAATACTTATTTTTTACTTTTAACCGAAAATCAAGAACGGGAACAGGAAATATCGGGATTACGCGTACGAAGTCGCGGGCAGAAGCTAGTTTATTATGAAATAATAAAAGTGTTTATTGTAATAAAAACATAAGACACACAGTTTATGAATACTAACATCTAAACTAGGCCGAGCCTGTACCTTAGATGTTAGTATTCATTATGTGTCGTGTGTGTGTTTTGTGTCGCATCTCTGCTGCATAAGCGTTTATCTTCGGGCGGGAAGGCGGCGCTGCATACTATATGCTGCAAATTCATTCCTTCAGCGAAATAAATCTAAATATTTTCCAATGTGTTAGTATTCATATATATTTCTATGAACGACGACTACTATACATTCTATTTTTAATTCATTTACACATCTACAAAACATAACTATTTGTTAATACAATAATAACTTAACTGGACATAATTCCAGATACTATCTACACGAATTACTGAGAATTTCGAAAATTGTTTTTCTTACTCAGGAATCGAACCTGAGACTTAAGATAATATTTTCTACAAAACAATTAAGATGCTTTGCTCTAGTAATAATTTAATTTACTTTATTTTTACACACACATAGAATAAATAAGATATTGTAGTACTATATAGACATCTCTCTCTTGCAAGACAAGAAAACGAACATATATGACAGACAAACTTAATAATATAAGTAATATTAGTAATATAATTACAATAAACAAAAACTTGAATTATATTTGCATCCTTATCTTGCAGGGCTGACTTACGACTGTGTAAGTAAGACAAAGATAGTATAGTCGATGAAATCATTCGTTTCAGCTTCATTATATAGTTATAACTAATATGTACAATACAAATAATTTATACAGCACATAAATATGTCTTTGTTCTAAACATTTCACCAATAAACGTACAAACATACAGACAGTAACATCTACATTTCTACCACACTCTGTATATAGAGCTACCATTTGCCGCAGTCTTATTACAATAAAGTTCCTAATTTACAAATAAACCTTATTAAGTGGTAATTAAGGTTTATACTTCTTTGATACACTTTTACACGCACAGTCTTCGAAAATTCCTGCATCCAGAAATTTCAGGAATCCCCGTTACTCAGTGCAGGAGTCTGTGTACTGAACGTACTCGTAGAGGGCTTTGCACAGATCGTGCAAGGTCGGGTCTCACCTACCTCCTCCTCGCTTGTTCAGAGGGTCATAGACCTCAGCCTCTGAGTCGATTTCGTCCTCCGACAACGAGAGGGAGCCACCTACCCTGCGCGTGCGCAGACCTTCCTGTAAATTTATATTTTCGTGTTAATTTTTTATTTTGGGATATTTTTAGTTGTTATTTTAGTTAGATACTGAATGTTATGACAGTAATCTATGGTGATCAAATTAAAATGGGATTTTAGTTAAAATTAAAGGATATGCAAAATTTTCACATATTTTGAAAAAGGTTAATTGATGTTTAGTCGTAATTATCTTACGAATAAGTAGTTAATATTTGCAATGTCAAAATCTTGCACTTTATGTTGCATTAGCATAACGACATTTATAACTATTTCAGACTGACTATTTTATTTAGACTTCATAGTGTTAGTTTCTACTGTTTGTAGATGTAAAATAATTAGTACACAAATTCACAATGAAATACATCATTAGTATGAAATACAATTCGTATATACACCAGAGAAATCTATTTCGTTTTCGTCCCGAATTAAAATGGTAATACAATAGTTTAACAAAGAAATAAAATGTTTAAAACAAAAAATAAAATTTTTGTTTCATTGAAAAAGCAAACTTCGAAGGCGCATACGAGGACATAGTACATTATCAAAACACTAGCGACCCGCCGCGGCTTCGCACGGGTGCAATATGGATTTATTATACATATAAACCTTCCTTAAGAATCACTCTATCTATTAAAAAAACCGCATCAAAATCCGTTGCGTAGTTTTAAAGATCTAAGCATACATAGGGACAGACAGACGGCAACTTTGTTTTCTACTATGTAGTGATAACGCCATGTAGTGCTTGAAGAGGTATTTCTCGTCGGGTGGTAGGTGCGATGCGATGCGAATAGAGCCTACAAAGTTATGTCTAGTGTTTCATGTGCGTATTTCCATGAAAACTGTATTGTAACTAAAAAAATACATATTAGATTTTTTTGTTTTTACTTTATACATCAAAAGTACTACTTATGGAGCGTTGTTTTGCCGCGGGACGAAAACGAAATAGATTCTACGATGTATATCAATTTAGTTACGACATAGATATAAAATGAATAAAATATTTAGTAGTGTATTTTATTGACAAAGAATGAATTTTATACATTTTTCTAACACTATATACATGAAATACTTAGTGCAAACGAGGTAAACGTGTTAAATAAGATCCAAAAATTAAATAAAACTTCTTAATTGTATATAGTGTTAGCAAAAACGTAATAATTAATTACAATTTTATTTTACTAGGACATACGTATTAAAATGCAATGCTGACTACAAATCTGGTTAAAAACAAATTAAGAACCTGTAAAAAATATTAATTGGTACGAAGAAGAATAACCGCATGCATATACCCACGAAAAGATAAACAAAAACATCAACTACATATATATATATCATTGTGAGGTTCAATTTTGTGCGAACTCTTGCCATTTTAAATAGACATTAATTCACACAAAAAGAATTCTTTGGGGTTTATCAAATCGAATTCAATTGCAGACTGTAGGCTACCATTAAAAAAAAAAACAAAATCAAAAATTCACCACCATCTAATGTCTGACATGGGGATTCGAACCCAAAAATTTTTGACCGACGACGCAGTCTGACTGTTATACAAGGTATTGTTTTAAAGCCGCGTCATTTTCTAGAAGGTAATTCGGCTATCGATTCTGAGTCCGAATCAATAAAAAAAATTGTAGATAAATATTTTTCATTTTTCTGTAAATTACGGAAATCCGTAAGTGCGAACTGCACGCCGCAGTCTTGTAACTAGGTTTATAACGCAGCTTCACACACACAAACTCAAATACATAATTGACATTACATTAACATCTTAATTCCATAAAACTCCAATAAGAAACATTGCTGTCTCTTATTCTGAAAAACTGTCGAACTTAAACGACTTATTATAGCCGAAACTTTCACTTACATTGAACCATTATGACTTCTGTGATATGCCCCCGAGAAATGTCACGGTTTCAAAACTACACCTTGTATAATAAAAAAAAAACATCTTAGAGAGCAACCAACGGTGCATTACGAAACATGTGCAATTAGAGGCAGAAAAATTACACCGTGACAATGTTATGTGAACCCTTTCAGAAACCGAAGACTAAGTGAGAAAGATCATAAACCTATTTAGTAGTATTAGTTGCCATTAGAATTAACAAGCAAAGAAGAAATTGTAAATTAGACAAAGAAAGTAGTAAAGACCCTCGTATACTTAGAAGTCCTATTTTAATAGCAGATTAATATTTTATACAAATAATTATACAAAATCTTAAAAATATGTATATAGACGCCGCAAAACTCAAAATATGCTGCGCAATAATTAATGTGGAACCTTTAGCCATGCGAAAATTTTCCATACGTACTAAATATTTAAAATTCTTTATAACACACTAGGCAGACTGATTGGTAATCGCAATTTAAAACATTCAGGTTTATCAAAGATCGCAGCTGTCTGGTCTCTGGCGAATATACAATCCCTTAGTCGGTTCTTAAGTCACTACCGTGGGGGCAGCTATTAAAATAGGACTTCAAAAACCCAGCGCAAGCACAGAAATCCGAAAGCCCGTGACGTCACAGCCCCTTTATATAAAAAAAAATCAACTGTGAACCGTATATAAGTAAAGTGCGGTGCAGTCAATAAGTGCCCACCAATTCTGTGTCACTGATCCACGCGGCCGCTCCGTCCTCTACGCTGGACGACATCTGAATATATACGTGGTCGAATTTTAGAATGTATTTTCGCTATATTATTGTTTATAGGTTATAGGTATAAGGGAATTGGTAGGTCAAAAATAATAATAGTCTACACATCAAAACAGACTACAGGCTTTTGTAATTAAACCTAGGTTCAAAGCCTAACATTAGCTAAGTTTTGAGAAGTGCCCACAGCATTAGCCGACGACTGATATGGGGGAGTGTAAAAAAGGAGACATTTTTGTGCCTGAGCTTATTTCAGGCACAAATGTCTGTGTTCCATGTGTTCCATGTGACAATGAACACAACATAACAGGCCTTTTATCCATGAAGGGTTAGGCAGAGGTGCACATTACGGCACTTAATGCCACTGTACAATGTAACACCCACTTTTCACTATTCATGTTATGAGTCCGACTATAATATAATATACCGGGCACATTTCTAGACTCCGTACTAAATACTATTGAGATTTTAAACCCGAACCCGAGACCCCTTATCCGGCAGTCGCACTTGAGATCACACGGCCAACGAGGCAGTGGAACAATGAACATCACATTATTAACCAATGTTAGTCATTTTAATCCTCTTCTTAGAGATGAGAGTTGAATTCTAATATGACTGTCAACCCTGACTATGACGTACCAATCCCCAAATAACCGTTGTACATTTGTCATTGCTACTATTTGTATGTTACTCGACTAGGTAACCTAGAATGTGTGTCTAGGTTTCAAAAGTCAACAACAACATTATCTAGGTGATACCGTTAATATTAATATTTAAAATTACTTAAATTACTATTATACACCCTACTAGTATATATATATACCTATATATATACTACGTTTTTTCTTTAAAAATATTATTAGCCACAGAAAAACCATGTAGGTAAAATGTTTAGTTAAAAAACTCATACACACACATAAAAAACTAGTCAACTAAAATACAGAAAAAAAAACTCAACAAAAAACCTATTCTAATGACAGATGTGTACGCCAGTCCACAGAAATGAAAATTTTAATATTTATACATAAGAAATATACCGAAATATGTGAAACTAGATAATAAATACCGCACGCCTTTCACCCTGTAACCAGTTACAGTAATTTAGTACTTAAACTGATTTGTCTACACATACACACACACACACACACAACTAACCCATAAAATAAAATAACTACAAAAGAAATAAAGGTAAATAAATATGAAAAAAAAAACACCTTAAAGTCATTCGATTAAAAATATCACCAACTATTTGAGTAACTACTACAATATTTATAATTATATTCTAGAAGCATTTATAGGTATTTATAAGTAGCATTCATATGTAACATACTCTGTCCAGTAATGAAGGTATACAATGTCAAACTGCCGATTCCCTAAGCGATCACCGGTGACCGCTCTCCACTTACTCCATTACAGACCTTATTTCTGATGTCTAGAGACTACTTTTGCATAAACAAATGTTGTGGATTTTTCATAAGTTTCTTATCATGATGTCACAGCTTGCAATCTCAAATAAAATACATATTACTTTTTGTATAGACAACTATTACATTTAAAAAAGTATTCTTGACAAGGTTTATATCAAAAATATACCTAATTGCCTGTAGTTGGAAAATATACAAACTTTAAAAAACGAATCAAACAATACCTTCATTGAACTAGACAGAGTTTACCCGAAAAAAAAACAATCTATACAGAACAATCTACATCAGTTAATGCTTACCTCGAGTATCCCAGCGCTGGGCTCCGAGGCGTAACCTTCGAAATGTCGCTGGTCCTCCTCATAGTCTGATGATGAAGAAGAGTCGTTGTCTACGTCACGGGCCGTGCGGACTGAACACACCATTTGGGCCAAGTCCGTGAAAGTATAACTGAAAAAATTGGAGAGACAAATCGTTTATATAGAAATTTATAGGAGCACCATTTTTTATGTTTTTTTTATAGGTGAAGAGTTAGATAAGGTATCAATAGAACGTGTAGCGAAAAGATCTTATAAGTAATGTTATCATTCGATAATGTAACAACAATAACGCCTTGCCATATATAAAAAAAATATTATTCTTACATATACATATTTCGATCGTCTTATCTTTATAACTAGCATCTACTAAGAAGTTTAGAATTTATACGTGAGACATACTAAATTAATCATTATGTTTTTCGACTTACTCACGTAATTATTTGACGAGGAACGCGACGCCGGTCGTTCAATGCTGCTCATGATTATGAGCCTCTAGCATGGCTTGAAACTAGTCGAGTTGGTTATCAAATAATTACATGAGTACTTAAGCCAAAAAAAACATAATAATTAGAAGAATATTTTACCATCTTAATTAAATATAGCAAGTAATTAACAGATCCTTAAATATACTATCATTTAATTAAATCTCTTTAAAAAACTAACCCAAATACAAAATTATTGATTGAGACTCCTAAATGAACACCAGTGCTCCCTAATCATGAAATGAAACCTTCATGACATTTAAACAATGCACTCATTCCAGTAATTGAGTAAGATATACCAACTGATCAAGATCCAAGCTGTCACCGGTGACAGCACTCCACTTACACCATTATAAACCTTATTTCCAAAGTTTAGAGACTACTTTTGTATGCACAAATATTGTAGATTTTTCTTAATCAGACATTTTTGAGTTAATAAGTAGCGAAAATGAGTGTTAAGAACAAAATGTACATGAAAAAATTAATAAAACAGGTGTGTTTATGAATAGTTATTGTTTAAATACATACAGCATTAGTCCTTTATAGAATTAGCGGAGGGTTTCTGTGTCAAAGAGAGAAGACAATGAAACTTCTTGCGATAGACCAGTCCTATGGCCAATGTTACTTTAGCATAACGATGCACTGTCTCACATTTGAAGATTTTAAAAGAGTATTTATAATTTATATTAAAACTTTCATGAGACATACTAAATTAATTATTTTGTTTTCGGTTTACTCTTGACGAGGAACTCGACTAGTTTCAAGCCATGCTAGAGGCTCATATTCATGAGTAGCATTACGCGTCCCGCGACGCGGCGACTGTCGCGCTGCTATACTACTGCTATAGTAGTATAAGCCTCAGGCATGGCTTGAAATTAGTCGAGTTCCTCGCCAAACAAGTTACGTAGACCAATAGAACACAAGATCTACAATTGCCATTTTAAAAAAACAGTTGTAGTTTTAGAGGATATACATAATTCAAGGTCATAATCAAGTCAATTCCCATTTTGAAAGAATTTTTCTCCCGCACGGAACAACACTTTGTGGGATCCACAAATTGTTGTCTCGGGTCTGGGTGTCATGTGTATGTGAACTTGTATGTGTGTAAACGAACCCACGACAGAGGAAACGTTGTTTAAAAAAAAAATATATGGATCAATTAATATTTTCTTTTTCTATAAACTTCGGCTATCTATTATCCCTGATTCAAGGAGACAACACAACATTATCGAACCAAAATAACAATGGCCAAGTCTAGCAATAACAAACTTACTCAGTAATCGAAGGTTGTGGGTGATTCTTTCTTCCATCGATGATGCCACTAGGGCGTCGTGCACATACTCGGCGCTGCCCCTCAAAGTACGTCGTCCCGTACCGGTACCTTATATAACAAAACTAGATTGTTTCACTACCCATACTTAAGTAGTGTAGGTCACCGCCACCGTCGATATGGTTGCCCCCGCTCACAATTTGTAGGTAGAATATTCTAGCTACAATATTTTTCTATATTTATAAACTATTATTAAATAATAAAGATTTAATTACCTTTATAGTTTTACAACTGCATACGCTTAGGACTAAAATAGGTATGTCATATTTAAACATAATTTTACTCTTAATATATATAACTAGAATATTCTAGATTTAAATGCTTAAAGCGCTATATTCACAATGTTCAGCACAAAGCTCTATTATAAAATAAATATACTAAATAAAACACTGAAGCAAGAGTTGATAATATCTGCATCACGTAAAATACTCTATGTTTGTTCTTCAGCTGTCAAGTTGGTTTTTTATCCTTGAATATATGTACATCTTGATATCAATTCCTGCTTTAGTGTATTCTAAGATTTTACAGAGAAGGACTCACTCTCATAAGGAAAATAGTCAAATACATTTGATATTGTTTTGTAATTGATAGATACTTTGATTAAAAATATGAAATAAGAAATATCTTTCGACACACATAGAAAGCAATGAACTGTGACTTCTACAGCTGTTGGAAATCAGTTTTATTAAAAAATTGAATTAATTAGGTAAATGCCATAAAAAAATGAATTTTTAATTTATTAATTGATCAGTGTTAATGAAATTCAGTGTAATCAAAATGTCAATGCTAATGGATGTTTGTTTAGGGGTAAACCTATAAGTTATTAGGAAACTAATGTCATAATATTAATAACACAAACCATTCTTTGTTAAAGCCCATCGCACCGTAATAAGCTAAACCGACAATAATCGAATCCACAGTATAAAAAACATCGAAAACTTCGACTCGTATTAGGAATAAAAACTCATGAAGCATACACTGGAAATACTAATAACTGAGTCAAATAAGTTCATAAAAATTCCTGCACTTACCTTCATCACAATTTTATACCGCGTCATCAAAAAAGTGACAGGGTATGAAATAATGTAATTAATCCGTCAGTTAGATAATGAAAAAATATTAGACACGTATTTTTTTATTTTGTCGTATAAGAAAACAATACTTAGATAAAACGGAGTTAAGTTTAGGTGTCGTTCCACGTGTCGTTACGTCACGCTACCCTATAAAATGTAGTCGTGACGTCACACGATATTTCAAATCAATGTATCGTCGAAAGCATTTAATTTTGTAAGAACAGAAAAAATACGTGTCTAACATTTCCAAATAATCTACCAGACGGACATTGAAATAGGAATTTAGGATACTACTCTATTCACAATACGAGTCGAAGCCTTTCTATCTCTTTCCAACTTACTCAGTAAGTGAAGGCTGTGCATCATGCCGTCTCCCTTCCGCAGCAGCTCCGCTGACGCCGCCGCCACCGCCGCGCCGCTGACCCTCGAAGTACGCCGCACCATGTCGGTAGCCTACCTCACGGATCTCGTCGAACGAACCAAATTGTAACGTCTTGTATGCGTCAATCGGAGGTCGTATGTATTCGCAGTAGTCGGATTTTTTTACTTCCTGTAATTTTGAAATTTGTTGATTTATGTTATGTTTCTTGGT